ACACACACACACTCACACTCACACTCACACACACACACACACACACACACTCACCAGCGCTGAACGCCAGCATCCGTCAGAACGACGCGCTCACACAAAACCACAACACTGACACACAACAACGCGCCTCGACGCGCGCGATACACGCGGCCTGAGGACGGGACGCAGCGACGGATGCGAGAGAGGAAGGTGTTTCAGTCGAATAAACACACACTTACCTCACACAATCGCGCCGCGTCGCTCCTCCGTCCGCGTGGGTTCGCGCAGAGCAGTGCGTCAGCTGGCGGTCGAGCTGAAGGGGTAGTTATTCATTGGAAACGATGAGTTATTTGCCCCTCGGTGTCACAACTATTGCTTCCCCGTCCTCCAATCTCACAACTAGAGCGTGAACGCGCAGGGTCCGCGGCCAACCACACGCGCGCTCCCGCTGTCCACGCGTCCGCGAGAGAGCGCGCGTCCGCGTCACACATTTCATCACTGCGTGCGCAATATGATCTATTACAGTTATGATTCTGCTCTACACTGTATGTGTGATTTAATATTTCTTTATAGGCTATACACAAACTGCTTGAAATTGCTATGCAATGTTTTTTTTACAGTGTTTGTACAGGACTATATTGCACTGCATTATTTCAATTTTAATTGTCTATTTCTATAAAGAATTTTATTTTTGTTTTATTTTCTTTCCTTATTAATTTTTATGTAAATATGTATTTTCATGTAAGAAAAATGGGTAACACTTTATTTTAAGGTGTCCTTATTACACGTTACATGTACTTACTATTATAATAACAACAATTAATTATGCATAATTACATGCAAGTGACCCTAATCCTAACCCTAACCATATAGTAAGTACATTAATATTACGCAGTACTTAAATGTATAATTACACTGTACACCTTAAAATAAAGTGTAACCGAAAAATGCTATTTTTGAAAGTCGAATTTTGGGGTTTAACAATCATAAAGCACTAAAAAATTAATGAAGCTGTAAAATGTAGGCTAAATGGCAACAGATGACATTGTCTTCGGCTAACAGGAAATGTAATTAATTAATTTAACATTTAAAACACATGTGACAACTTACCCCCGTTCTGACATATATGAAAATTAGATGAGAATTACCTTCATTACAGCAACTATTCTGGTAATGCATCTCAATCTGATTTTGTTCTGTGCAGCTATTAATCAACAGCAAAAATCTGATCATATTGGGTTTTAGTTTAGGACAGAATTCACAAATATTATTCTAGAGAGTCTGAACTAAATGTTTGATATAATATACAAAACCACAGACCTTGACTCACCTATATGTATCTTTGTAGACGTTGTTTTGAATAAATGCTGAATAAATTGTTTAGCATTATATAACACACTCTAATATAATATAACAGGGCTCAGCAATCCTCTAATTTCATATATTAGGAGAAGGCAGTCTAATCAGACTGTTTATTGCAATAAAAGGGCGAGAAAACTGCAGCGGATAATGAACACCCGCGGGGCTTGAGAAGAGAAGGTTACTGCTCTGTACAGAGCTGCATGTTTACAGCACACAGGACAAACACCTTATTGCACTAATGTCTCCTGTTTTCATCAAATGACGGAAATGTTAAAGGCTTCCTCACTCTCACAGTCCATCAGTGTGGGGTGTTAAAGCAATAGTTCACCCAAAAATGGAAATGTGCTCATCCTCAGATCATCCGAGAGTTCACTGATGGTCTGGAGTGCTGTGGATTACTTGTGGATTATTGTGATGTTTTTATCAGCTGTTTGGACTCTCATTCTGACGGCACCCATTCACTGCAGAGCATCCATTGCTGAGACACTGATGCAATGCTACATTTCTACAAACCTGATGAAGAGACAAACTATATCTTGGATGATCTAAGGATGAGCACATTTTCATTTTTTCCTGAACTACTGCTTTAACTGTTTTAGACTCAAAGGTAATAATCCACATCATCTCAGAAATCCAGCCTCAATTTTAAAAAGCGATGTAAGTGAAGCTACTCATCCGGCTTCTGTCAAACCTTAAAACATACTTAACACAGAAGCATCGTCTGACTAATGTGAAATGGACACTAAAAGCGCTGCGTGAGATGACATGCAGATCAATTCTGTTCTAGAAATAAACTTAACAGCCTGTCTGTGCGTATAAATGTTAATTTATCTCAAGTTCTCTCCATATGGAAACTATCAGTCAGCGTTCAGCTTCACTCCTAAACCGCAGGGCGATGTTCAGCTGCTCTGACATTAGCTCGTCTCAGGTAACCTTCATTAGTTTTCTGTAAGAGATGACTGAATCTCATTAGCAGAAGTCAGTCAATATCTCCCTGTGGCGTCTGTGCATTCAAACTCTGCTCATCAGCGCCTGCAGTCGCTTACAAAACATAATTCTATTAGTGACAAATCAATAGCAGATGATTTATGATAGTTATCATTAAATGTAGAGACACCGGGGCAAGTTGTCACTCTTTCACTCCAGTGAATATTTTCAGAGTGGGTTTATTTTTAAAAGTCTTGACTACAACAAAACCTATTTTTATGGTGCAATAAAAATATACAGCCGTTCGGGCACATGTTGGGCTATAGTGGGGCATGTTGTCACAGTGGGCCAAACAGAACTGAATCAGTAAAACAGCTATGAAGTGCAAAACAATTCAAGAAACAGCAAAAATGCTCAGGATACAAAAATATCATTGCATTGTTTTGGCCAACAGAAATTGTCATTAAAAAAACGGTATAAATGATATTATAAACAATTTATAATTATTTCAAATCATCTTTTATTTTTTATATTATATTTTCATTTTAATTTCAGTTTAAGATTTAGTAATTTTTTAATGTGCTTGTCATTTTTTACAAGATTTCTATGTAGCTTTCATTTTTTTAATTTCAGTTTTAGTCATTTCAACTTTTTCAAATAAAAAAGTACTTATTTATTAGCCAGGCAGCATTTCATTAGTTTTTTTTTTCATTTAATATTTATATTTTATTTTATATCAGCTTTACTTCAATTACTGAAAATGATTTTAAATACTTTTAGTTTTAGTTAGCAATACACAAAAATATGTGAATAAATCAAATATGTGACAGAAATAAATGAAATATGATGATGATTGCACCAAATATTCTACACTCTCAGAAAAAAAAAGGTACAAAAGCTGTCACTTTGTACCTAAAGGGTGCATATTGGTATAAAAAAGGTACAAAAGGTACCGTCCCACTGACATCTTTTGTACCTTTTTTTTTGAGAGTGTAACATAAGACACAGCTTTAAAACCAACAAACAAAACCACTGTTGGAGAAAAAGAACAAGTGTTTGTGTAACTGGATTTACTGAGGGGCAACTTCCCCATGTGACAACTAGCCCCGGTTGGATGAGTGTGGTCAGATGAGCAGTTGTGTCTCATTACACACTGATATGAAGCCAAACACACACTGATCTGGAGCCTGCAGAGCCGCCACATGTCACACTCGCCTCTCTCTCGCTTCTCCTGAAGGAGCTTCTCTCCTGTTGTGACCATATGCCGCTCCTGCATGAATCGATGCGCTGGGAATGAACTCACACAGATATTAACACGCGAGTCAGGAAGCAGCAGAGCAGGTGAAATGCCAGAGATGAGCTCATGAAGATCCGCTGGTGACCTTCCTTCTGTGAGGATCATCTTCATCATCATCATCATCATCTTTTTCTTCATCATCTTCATCATCATCATCATCTTCATAATCATCATCTTCATCATCTTCATCATTATCTTCATCATCATCTTCATAATCTTCATCATTATCTTCATGATCATCATCATCATCATTATCTTCATCATCATCATCATCATTATCTTCATCATCATCATAATCACCATCATCATCATTATCTTCTTCATCATCATCATCACCATCATTATCATCATCACCATCATCATCATCTTCTTCATCATCATCATCTTCATCATCTTCATCATTATCTTCATCTTCATCACCATTATCATCATCTTCTTCTTCATCATCACCATCATCACCATAATCTACATCATCATCATCATCTTCATCATCACCATAATCTACATCATCATCATCATCTTCTTCATCATCACCATCATCTTCATCATAATCTACATCATCATCACCATCATCTTCATCATCATCATCACCATAATCTACATCATCATCATCATCATCATCTTCTTCATCATCACCATCATCTTCATCATAATCTACATCATCATCACCATCATCTTCATCATCATCACCATAATCTACATCATCATCATCTTCATCATCATCACCATAATCTACATCATCATCATCATCTTCATCATCACCATCATCTTCATCATAATCTACATCATCATCACCATCATCTTCATCATCATCATCATCATCACCATCATCTTCATCATCATCTACATCATCATCATCTTCATCATCATCATCATCATCATCATCTCACACCGAAATCACACGATATTAAACAAACCAAGCCTGTTTCTAAGAGCATGATTGTTATTTAAAATAAAATAAATGTTAAAGGAAATAAAATAAATATATATATATGTATTTTCATATTTATATACACTAAACTTACTTTATTTTAGTTCGTTGCAAGGCAACATTTTTCATTTCCTTTAGTTTAACTTGTTGCACTAAAATAACTCAAACTTAAATAAAAACTAATAAATATTATGTAGAAAAAACGAAAAAAATACACAACAAAAACACTACAACTTTAACTAAAATTAAAATAAAAAAATATATTTAAAAAAATAATTCAAACATTAAAGGCTATAATTGTATCTTAATGATACTAAAATAACCCTGCACATGAAAGGCAGCTCAACAAATACAACCCTGATGTGAAAATACTTCAATATAAATCATTTTTCTTCACATCACAAAGAAAATTGTAGGAAAATAAGCTCAGCTGTCATGAATATATGAAGAGTTCAGATGCAAAAGCCTCTAAGTGCCATCTGAAAATTTCTTCTAAAATTAGCATTTTTATCAGGCTCCTATGTTTAGGTTCAGAAATGTCACTTTAATAGCAATGTATAGGTCCTTTTCTATGCCATTAAAGTGCAATAAATGAACATAATCATAGGAGCCTGATAAAAATGCTAATTTTAGAAGAAATTTTCAGATGGCACTTAGAGGCTTTTGCATTCGAACTCTTCATATATTCAGTATGCAAAAAATAATAATGACACTAACAAAGAGCCTTATTTTCTTTATGCAAAATTTATTTTTTCTTTTGAACTGAAATATAATTAGGTTGTATAATTAGCATGTAAATGTGTTTCTGTGAGCAGCACTGCTCTAGTTTTTCTTTTTATATAATTGGACAAATAAACCATGTCTATCAGGTAATAATATAAAGTTAATTTATATATGGGTCAAAGACGTTAAGATGTCCGCATCAAAAGAAATTTACAAAAGTGATTTTATGTCCATAGAAGCACATTAGATGCAAGTAAAGTGTCTACTTTTAAGGTTTCAAATAAAGTTTAAAAAATGTAAAATTACAACTAATTATTATTTGGGGTGAAAGTAATTAGTCTTTTAATATGTCATAAATTGATTTTTGTTGTAAATATGCCTGACAAGATTGTTACACTGAATGACATTTTAGTGGCTCTCTTCTGTAAATCAGAGGAAAATGTATGATATTTATTTTTTGCTCGGAAAAATAAAAACAAAATTGCAATTAAACAGAAAATTAAAAAAAACAATTTAAAGCAGTATTACTTATTGTTTTTATGCTTGAACCATTTTTCGTCTTTGACCCATATATATTTGAAATATAAAGTTTATATATATATTCTTTTCTACAATTTTATTATTTTCCTTTATTGTATTTTTTTTATTTCTTATGAACCTTTTTTTAAATCATTTTTCTTCACAGCACAGCATTTATAAAACACAGTTCATACAAACCTGCCTTGCTTTGCCTTCATTTACTCCAGTATCATCACACTTGGATCATTTAGAGATGAAATGAAAACTACAACTCCACACAAACAAAATGTAAAACTATAAAAATATGTTTTTCCAATGACTTTATACTCTTGATCTTACATTAATGCAGCCACAGTTAACACACATACACACTGATCAAATATTAAACCCTGCACACACTGTGAATCGCGTCTGTCATATGAATAAGTGTAAATAAACTTTAGCGTCCGTCACGACAGATTTAAGAGCTCAGCCGGTGTCTGAAAGTGTGCAGTGATTGAGAGAAACCACATGCATTTGAACAGAACAGGTCTTTTATTGTACAGAGGCAGCATTCCCACGAGCTTCTGATCTATTTGGGTCCCAGCATGTCCTGCGGTCGCACCCACTGCTCAAACTGCTCCTCCGTCAGGAATCCCAGCTTCACGGCCGTGGCTTTCAGAGTCCAGCCCTCTTTGTGCGCCGTCTTTGCAATAGTGGCGGCTTTATCATAACCTGAAAGAGAGCGAGAGACGACTGACGACATCCAGAGTGTCTTCTGTGCAGGAATGATAATATTGCACCAGGTCTGTAAATTACTGAACAGATACTTAGTTTCTAGCGCCCTCTGCTGTGGTTACCTATGTGAGGGTTCAGAGCCGTGACCAGCATCAGAGACTCGTTCATAAGTTTGTTGATTCTCTCTGTATTGGCCTCGATTCCAGACACACAGTTATTAGTGAATGAAACCGAAGCGTCGCCCAGCAGCCGGGCAGAGTTCAGCACGTTTTTAATCTGGAGAAGAGAAACGAAACATTTAAACCCTTAACACAACTCATCTGATGCCTTACATAGTATAAAAAAATTGACCCTTATGACTGGTTTTGTGCTCCAGGGTCACATATTGCCTCCATCAGGCCTGGGATATTTGCAGTGGTTTTGCTTGTGATATCAAATTAAGAGACACTGTGAACACTGTATTTCACGATAGTCTCATCATTCGTCTCTGGTTAGATTGATGAGAACGAGGCCGTTAAGACGGATGCTTTAATAGCATCTGATGCAAACTTCAACAAACTTCCAAGAGTTGGAATGAATCATTCAATAAATCTTTGCATACATTACTTTGCATACATTTTTTTTTAAATGTATTAATACTTTTATTCAGCATTAAATTGATCAAAACTGACAGTAACGTTTACACTACTGTTTGATATTTACACAAATGTTTGGAATAATTAGAATTTTTAAAAAGTTTTTGACGTCACCAAGGATGCATTTATTTGCTCAAAAATAAAGTAAATTTGTGAAATATTATTTAAATTGTTTTCTATTTCAATAAATGTTAAAATGTAATTTATTCCTGTGATACAAAGCTGAATTTTCAGCATAATTACTCCACTTATAAAAGGCTTTACAGTCACTTTTGATCAATTTATTGCATCCTTGCTGAATAAAAGTATTAATTAAATTTTTTTTTAATCTTACAGACCCCGAACTTTTTAATGGTAGTGTATCACAGTTTCCACAGAAATATTGTGCAGCACAACTGTTTTCAACATTGATAATAATCAGAAATGTCTCTTGAGCAGTAAATCAGCATATTAGAATGATTTCTGAAGATCATGTGACACTGAAGACTGGAGTAATGATGCTGAAAATACAGCTGCGCATCACAGAAATAAATTACAGTTTAACAGATATTCACATAGAAAACAGCTGTTTGACATTATAATAATATTTCACAATTTTACTGTTTTAATTAAATAAATGCAGGTTTGGTGAGCAGAAGAGACTCTTTCAAAAACATTAACAAATCCTAATTATTCTAAACTTTTGAACTCTTTCTGGAAGTCTTTGCATGAACAATTAATCATTTTGTTGCTTGTTTTTTCCCAGGGAATGCACGAACTGATTAAATTTATATCTTCAAAGCAATGTGCGCCGCTTTGCACAAGATGGAAAGTTGGAAAGGCGACTCACGATCATCGGCTTGAACACATTGAGCTCAAAGTGTCCGTTGCTTCCTCCGACAGTAACAGCCACGTGGTTTCCCATCACCTGAGCTGCTACCATAGTCATGGCCTCACACTGCGTGGGGTTCACCTTCCCTGAGACACACATACACACACTTGAGAATAACACACACACTTCTGTGGTTCTACAGGCACTCTAAAGCACTGAGCAGATCTTTAATGCTGTGTGTGTGTGTGTGTGTATGTGTGTGTGTGTGTGAGAGAGAGTGTGTGAGAGAGTGAGTGAGTGCGTGTGCGTGTGTGTGAGAGAGAGTGAGTGAGTGAGTGAGTGTGTGTGTGTGAGTGAGTGAGTGCGTGTGTGTGCGTGTGTGTGAGAGAGAGTGAGTGAGTGAGTGAGTGTGTGTGTGTGAGTGAGTGAGTGCGTGTGTGTGCGTGTGTGTGAGAGAGAGTGAGTGAGTGAGTGAGTGAGTGAGTGTGTGTGTGT